TGTAAATGGGATCTTTGTTCTTAACACAAGTTCTGATTATTTACTGATGTTGAAAGACTACTGATTTCTCTGTATTGATCCTGAATACAGCACGTTTGCTAAACTCCCTTATTAGTTTTAGCAGATTCCTTTTTTCTTCCTCAGTTCAAGTTTAATAGAAACAACAAAAGACAAAAAGTGATGCCCTACTACTGTACATAACAGTTGGTCTGCCCCATAACAGCTCAGGCCCTTCTCTCCAGAGGAAGAAAGGCTGGCCTCCCCAACCCCTGCAGGAAAGGCCTGTCCTGTCCCCATACCACATCTGCACAGTGTCTAAAGTTTTATGTTCTAAGCATGACAATAATACAAAAAAGATTTTGTTTTCATGGCCACCCACTGCAGCCCAGCCCTAAAATGACCCGGCACTCACTTCTGCTTAGAGAAATATTCTTTGCTCTTCTGGACATCAGGCTTCATGGTATCACTGCCAGGCTTCCAGCCAGCTGGGCACACTTTCCCACGCTTGTCAGTAAACTGGAAGGCCTGAACCAGTCGCAGAGTCTCATCCACAGAGTGGCCAACAGGAAGGTCATTTACCATGATCTGCCTAAGGATACCTTTATCATCAACGATAAAGAGGCCCCTGAACGAGATGCCTTCATCAGCCTTTAAGACTCCATAGTCCTGAGCAATGGTATGCTTGGGGTCTGATACCAAGGGAATGTTCATGGGTCCCAGTCCTCCTTGTTTCTTGGGTGTGTCGATCCATGCCAGGTGACAGAAATGAGAATCCACAGAAGCACCAATCACTTGACAGTTGAGTTTCTTAAATTCTTCTGCCCTGTCACTGAAAGCAATGATCTCAGTGGGGCACACAAAGGTGAAGTCAAGAGGGTAAAAGAAGAACACAATGTCTTTTCCTTTGTAGTCAGATAGGCTGAGGTCTTTGAACTGGCCATCTGGCATAAAGCCGTGGCTTTGAAGTTGGGGCCAGGATGCCCAATTTTGGCATTTCCTGAAGACATCTTGCTATCAGCGGCTCTGAGAACAAAAACGCGGAAGACAAGGCAGGAAGAAGACCAGTTTTAATAGATTCTATTCTGTGGATTATCTAGGGTTTTTGTATGTAATCAATCATGATATTTGTAAATAACAACAATGGCTTCTGATCTCAGTTTTAAAGATTTTTAGAAATCATGAATGAGGGGTGCCTGGGCGGCTCAGTCATTAAGCGTCTGCCTTTGGTTCAGGTCATGGTCCCAGGGTCCTGGGATCGAGCCCCGCATCGGGCTCCCTGCTCAGCAGGAAGCCTGCTTCTCCCTCTCCCTCTGCTGCTCCCCTGCTTGTGTGTTCTCTCTCTGTCAAATAAATAAATAAATAAATAAATAAATCTTAAAAAAAAAAAGAAAGAGGGGGCACCTGGGTGGCTCAGTTGGTTAAGCGACTGCCTTCGGCTCGGGTCATGATCCCAGGGTCCTGGGATCGAGTCCCACATCGGGCTCCCTGCTCGGCGGGAAGCCTGCTTCTCCCTCTCCCACTCCCCCTGCTTGTGTTCCTGCTCTCGCTGTCTCTGTCTCTGTCAAATAAATAAATAAAATCTTTAAAAAAAAAAAAGAAAGAAAGAAAGAAATCATGAATGAGTATTAAATTTTGTTGATTTTTTTTTGTATTTATTGGAATGGTCAGGTTTTCTCCTTTAATCTGTTCACAAGGCAGACGCTTAACCAACTGAGGTAGTCGGTTTTATAATTTAAGTATACCTGGCATCAATAGGTTAGAAATCAAATACAGCTGACCCTGGATGAGCATAAAACTCACATGCACAGCAGCCCATTACCTACAAGGATTACACTGATGGTTCTTTTTTTTTTTTTTTTAAGATTTTATTTTTAAGTAATCTCTATACCCAACATGGGGCTCGAATTTACAACTCCGAGATCAAGAGTTACGTGCTCCACCAACTGAGCCAGCCAGGTGCCCCGCACTGATAATTCTTTTAAAACAGAATGGAGAGTATCAGTTAAGTGGAAGTCAATTTAAAAAGTGTTCACTTGGTGCCTGGTGACTCAGTTGGTTAAGTGTCTGCCTTTGGCTCAGGATCCCAGGATCCTAGGATCGAGCCCTGTATCGGGCTCCTTGCTTAGCAGGGAGGCTGCTTCTTCCTCTCCCTCTGCCTACCATGCCCCATGCTTGTATACTCTCTCTCTCTCAAATGAATAAATAAAATCTTTAAAAATAAATAAATAAATAAATAAAAAGTGTTCACTGTTTAAGGAAATCTGGTTGTGGTGACAAAGCACATGCTTTATAAGTCGACGTAAGTTGTCTCCATTCAACTAAATTCAAGAAATAGTTACTGGGAAATGACATTAAGTATCACATTAGGCCATCATGGTTAAAAACAAAGGTGAAACAAATAGTTCCTGGGGTGCCTGGCTGGCTCAGTCGGTAGTGTGCGGCTTTTGATCTTGGGGTCGTGAGATTAAGTCCCACGTTGGGTGGAGAGTTTACTTAATAATAAAAACAAAACAAAAAACAAACAAGCAAACAAAAACCAAATAGTTCCTGTTCACAAAATATTTTCCAACCTAGTAGAGAGGTTAAGACCAAGTGCATACAGACATAATCATGATACAAAAAAAGTAAGACAGATGTCTAGGATGTACAAAAACTGTCATGGAGGGGAGGTGTAACTGGGGAAAAGGAGTGATCAGGAAAGGAGTCTTAGAGGAGGTAGATTATGCGGTAAACTAAGAAAGGTGTTAGACCGTTGATGTTCATACCAGCTAGCGCCTTTCATTGCTTCCTATCTGTCGGTGGTTGCCTTGAAAGCAAGGAGAGCTATCTGCCCTGATTACCATTTCTTTTCTTGTTAGCCTTGCACACAGATTCTTCCTCTCTGTCCAGCCCTTTCAGATGAAAGGTCCACACCCTAACCCCTAGAACCGTGAATATGTTATGTTACATGGCAAGGGAGAACTAAGATTGAATGTGGAAATAAATTTGCTAATCAGCTGACCTTTAAATGAGGAGATTATCCTGGATTACCTGATGGGCCCAGGGTAATCTCAAGAAAGCTAAGAAGTGAAAGAGGGAAGCCGGAGAGTTAGTGCCAGAGGGATACAGCCTGAGAAAGACTTGACCTGTCATTGTTGGCTTGGAAGACGGAAGGGCGTCAGGAGCCAAAGAATGACACAGCCTCTAGAGGCTGGAAAAGGTAAGGAAAATGGATTCTCTCCTAGAGCCTCCAGAGGAAAATCCAGCCTGAAGACAACTTAATTTTAGCCCAGTGGGTCCCATTTCAGACTTCAGACCTACAGAACTGTAAGATAGTAAATCTGTGTTATTTTAAGCCACCAAGTTTGTGGTAATTTGTTACAGTAGCAGTAAGAAAATAACACAAAAGTTTAATAAAGTCAATCAGGAGAAAGAACAGGTTTTGAAGGAAAGCTCATGGCTTTGTTCTTGCAAAGCTAAGAAGCTTGTTATTTGTGAAAGAGCCAGAATTTCTGGCCATTGGAAATGTGGGTTTGGATCTCAGAAAAGACACTGGGATTTGCAATCCTAGAATCATCTCATAGAGGAGACACTTGACCCCTAAAGCATGGGTGAGATGGCTTGAAAGAGAAAATTTAGAGCAGTGTTGTGCAATAGAAATATAACACAAACCGTGAATGTGAGCCACATTTGCAATTTAAATTTTTTAGTAACCATGTTAAATACATTAAAAAGGAACAGATAAAATTAAATTTTAATGGCATACTTGGTTGTACTCAACATATCCTAATTATTATCATTTCAACATATAATTACTATAAAAAGTATTAATGAGATATTTTATATTCTCTTTTTGGTATGAAGTCTCTAAAATCTGGTATGCATTTTATACTTATAGCGCTTTTCAGTTCAGTACATCTATAATTAATTTCAACGGCTCTATAACCATCACGTGGTTGGTGGCTACTCTATTGGGCAGTGCTGTTTAGAGAAAGAACAGACACAAAGGATGGAGCCTTGAGAGATACCTGCATTTAGGAGACAGGAGGAGGAAAAGGACCCAGTGAATGAATAGAAATAGGAGGAGAATCAGGAAGTGCAATGTTTCAAAATCCAAAGGAATTTTACTTAGGGAAACATGGGGGGTGAGGGGTGGGAAGCATCACATGCTCTTTTTCTTCAGTGCTCTGGCTCATTCAACTCTTTCATTTTAGAGGGTTTCCCCCATCTGTACTGAAGCTCTATACTACAAAGTCACTTTCCTTTGCTCTCCCTTTAATAGTCTCATATATACATCTAGTTATATATTTAGGGGCTCAAACATAGGTGGCTGGGTAACAGGGTGACTAGGGAAAAAAGAAAGGAGCACTGAGGTGGCATGAGGTTGTTGGAGGATGTGATGATTTGGAACAGGTGCCTGGTGGGAGTAAGATGGAGATCATGTTACCATGACAACTGATTATTTCATTGGTCCAATGACCAGTTGCCATGGTGACAAAATCTTTGTGTCAATGTGACATGGATCCCAAGGGAGAAGAGGCTTGTGCAAAGGACCCTTTGCTCATTGGTAAAGCTTTTATATTTGCAATAATTCCTGCATTGCTTGATGAAACCTCCCCCAGGAACTTCAATCAACACTGATGGCCCCCCTCCTCCTTCCTGTTCATTTATAGCAATCACTGCTTGCAAACTGCACACAGTTTCATTGTTCATGTTCTATATAGTGTTTTCTTATCTGATAGTCTTTAATTGTTTCAGCAATTTATCTCTTTCTCCTACATAGATATAATCCTGTTGAAGGCAGGGATCATTCTTATAATTCAGTGGGTTTTCAAAGGACTGGGGGTTAGTGGAAAAAGGAGACCTTTGGGCCAGACAGATCTGCATTTATATACCACCTCTGCTTCTGCCATTTGCCAATTGTGTGGCCTTAGGAAAGTCATTTTATCTTCTTGAAATCTAGTTTTCTTCTCTAAAATGGGGATAATAAAACTTGCATTGCAGGGTTGCTGTGATGATTACAGATAACCTAAATAAAGTAGCTGGCCTGCAGTAGGGACTCAATAAATAGTTCTAATTATTACAGCATGACACCCAGCCCAGTCCTGGATGCCATGATTAGCACTTAGTAAAACCTGGTGAATAATAAGACAATGATGACAGATGATAGGATAACAGTAGGACTAGATTTAATCTTCCAGGTCCTTAAAGATCAGTTGTCCTATGATGGCCGAACTACACCTCAGCTGCAATTCTTTTTTTTTTTTCAGCCGAGAGGTCTCACACTTATTACTGAACCAACCTGGTTCAGAGGCATAGTAACAGAGAAAAATCATTTCCCTGATAAAACATGGCCAGGTAGGAGGGATGTTTACAGAGTGGTAGGATAGGAACACATGATCTTCATGCAGCTTAAAAATGTGTGCTTATTAGGTGTGGCATCTCATGATGTGTGATGCCTTACAGACCCAGCTTGGTTCTTCTCCAGTGCCTCCTCTTGGAGTTGTACCTGATTTTATTACCAGTTTTCATCCGAATCCACTGGGGAATGGGATGATTCTGCTTTTGTTTCTTGGCCAGGAATCCCTTGATTCCGAAAGTCTCGTGAGAAAACATGACAGAGAACAGTCAGCCACACACACCAAGATGGCGGCAAAAAGGGGGAAAGCTCAGCTGCAATTCTTTTTTTTTTTTTTTTAATTTTATTTATTTTTTTGACAGAGAGAGACACAGCGAGAGCAGGAACACAAGTAGGGGGAGTGGGAGAGGGAGAAGCAGGCTTCCCGCCGAGCAGGGAGCCCGATGTGGGCTTCGATCCCAGGATCCTGGGATCATGACCTGAGCCGAAGGCAGACGCCCAACGACTGAGCCACCCAGGCATCCCAAAGATCTGTCTTAATATATGTCTTCATATATTTATTTTCTGACTTCAGAAATTCCCATTAATTTTTAGATAAGATAATGTTATGATGTGTCAAAATAGCAGTTCTTATCTTTTGGAGATTCACTTTTAAGATATGTGTGTATTGATGAAGTATGGTTTCTGGAATTTGCTTTAAAATATCACAGAAGGGGCAATGTGAGGGTGAGGGTAGTGATCTAGATGAAACAAGGTTGGCTACTACATGATTACTGTCGAAGCTGGATGATGGGGAGGGTTCAGTGTATTATTTGCCTATTTGCATTGGTTTGAAGTTTTCCATAGAAAATAGTTTGAAGAGATTAAGGAATCGTATTTAAAACAGTAAGTCCAGGGGCATCTGGGTGGCACAGCTGGTTGGGCATCTGACTCTTGGTTTTGGCTCAGGTTGTGATTTCAGGGTGGTGAGATTGAGCCCTGTGATGGGCTCCATGCTCAGTGTGGAGTCTGCTTGAGATTCTCTCTCCCTGTGCCCCTCCTGCGTGTGCTCTCTCTCCTCTCTCTACAATCAATCAATCTTTAAAAAAAATAAAACAATAAGTCCATTTATCCAAGACTGTATGCACAGCAAAGATGCTTAGATGTGAAGAAGTACAGAATATTCCTTACTACAGTGTTGGATAACTGCATCATGTTGGTTTAATGAATAAATTAATGTGTATCTCCCCTAGCTGGCTCTCCATAGTGAGCCTTCTACATTGTGCACACAAATAATATTTTTTCTATTTCAAATTACAATTAGTATCATTCATGATGTTGTGTTAAATTCCTTGAAAAAAGACTCTGATAGGGAGTTTGTGGGCAAGAAGTTTTTTGGTGGTGAAGTGTGCCTTTGTGATCAGTTCTAGTGGAGGAGTGAAGTCAAGAGGAATATGTAGAGGAAGGAGTTGACCTGTGATACAGTTGCCAAACAGCGTCATCTGATCTAGCACCCATACCCCTAGGTCCTAAGGAGCTCAGGAGAAAGAAGGCCCTTCAAATATGTACAGCCTGGACCACTAGGTCCAGGCCTTTATACTTGGAATCACCCTCCTGCCTCCCTTGCCCCAGTAAACTTGAATTAATCCTTCAAGGCTGATCTCAAATGTTTCTGTGTCTGCACACTTTTCTTAAAACATCCACCGCCATGTTGCTGTCCAGTTTTCCCAGCACCATTTGTTTAAGAGTCATTCTCTTTCTCCTTGGATAGTCTTTCCTGCTTTGTTGGAGATTAACTGACCATGTAATTATGGGTTCATTTCTGGGTTTTCTATTCTGTTCCATTGATCTGTTTATTTTTGTGCCAATTCCATACTGTTTTGATCATTACAGCTTTGTAATATAACTTGAAGTCCAGAATTGTGGTGCCTCCAGCTTTTTCTTTTTCAAGGTTGCTTTGGCTATTTGGAGTATTTTGTGATTCCATACAAGTTTTAGGATTGCTTGTTCTAGCTCTGTAAAAGATGCTGTTGGTATTTTGATAGGGTTTGCATTAAATGTGTGGATTGCTTTGGGTAGTATAGACATTTTAACCAGTTTCTTACATGATACCCCAAAATAAATTCAAAATGGATTAAAGACCTAAATGTGAGATCTGAAACCATAAAAATCCTAGAAGAGAACATAGGCAGTAACTTCTTTGACATCAGCTATAGCAATTCTTTCTAAATAGGTTTCTCTCTTTTTTTTTTTAAGATTTTATTTTTAAGTAATCTCTACACCCAACATGGGGCTTGAACTCATAACCCTGAAATCAAGAGTTACACACTCCACCAACTGAGCTGGCCAGGCGCCCCTCCAGATATGTCTCCTGAGGCATGGGAAACAAAATCAAAAATAAACCATTGGGACTTCATCAAAATAAAAAGTTTCTGCACAGTGAAGGAAACAATCAACGAAACTAAAAGGCAACCTACAGAATGGAAGCAGATATTTGCAAATGACATACCCAGTAAAGGGTTAGTATCCAAAATATATAAAGAACTTATAAAATTGCGGGCGCCTGGGTGGCTCAGTCGTTAAGCGTCTGCCTTCGGCTCAGGTCATGATCCCAGGGTCCTGGGATCGAGTCCCACATCGGGCTCCCTGCTCGGCAAGAAGCCTGCTTCTCCCTCTCCCATTCCCCCTGCTTGTGTTACTGCTCTTGCTATCTCTCTCTCTGTCAAATAAATAAAATCTTTAAAAAAAGAACTTATAAAATTCAAAACCCCAAAAATGAATAATCCAATTTAAAAAAGGGCAGAAGACATGAATAGACATTTTTCCAAAGAAGACATACAGATAGCCAATAGACTCATGAAAAGATGCTCGACATCACTCAGCATCAGGGAAATGCAAATCAAAATTACAATGAGATATCACTTCACACTTGCCAGAATGGCTAGAATTAACAACACAAGAAACAACAGGTGTTGGCGAGAATGTGGAGAAAGGGGAACCCTCTTGCACTGTTGATGGGAATGCAAGCTGGTGCAGCCACTCTGCAAAACAGTATGGAGGTTCCTCAAAAAGTTAAAAATAGAACTATCGTATGATCCAGCAATTGCACTCCTGGGTATTTACCCAAAGAATACAAAAATACTAATTCAAAGGGATACATGCACCCCAATATTTATAGCAGCATTATTTACAACAGCCAAATTCTGGAAACAACCCAAGTGTGCACTGATTGGTGAATGAATAAAGAAGATGTGGTATATATGTACAATGGAATATTACTCAGCCATCAAAAAGAATGAAATCTTACCATTTGCAACAGCATAGATGGAGCTAGAGAGTATTATGCTAAGTGAAATAAGTCAGTCAGAGAAAGATAAATACCACATGATTTCACTCATATGTGGAATTTAAGAAACAAAACATGTAAGCAAAGGAAATAGAAAAGAGAGAGAGACAAACCAAGAAACAGACTCTTAACTATAGAGAAGAAACTGGCTACCAGAGGGGAGGTGGGCAGGGGGAATGGGGGAAATAGGTCATGGGGATCAAGGAGTGCAGTTGTTGTGAGGAGCACCAGGTGATGTATGGAAGTGTTGAATCACTATACTGTACATCTGAAATAATATTACACTCTATGTTAATTAACTGGAATTTAAATAAAAACCTTAAAATCCACCCCCAGTCTGATCAACTTTCTTCTTCTACTCTCCTTCCTCTATGAACCCTACAGAGGAATAGGAAGAGCTCACATTTATAACACTTCTTAGGATCTAAGCACCGTGTTAAACTCTCTACAAGTGCATGGTTTCAGTTAACTCATAACATAGCTATGCAGTAGGTGCTGTTATTATACCCATTTACAGATGAAGAAATTGAGGCGCAGAGAGATTAAGCAATTTGCCCAATTTAAGTCATTGCGCTACTGAGTGGCAGGGCTGGGATTTTACCCCAGGCAAGGGAGTCCCTACTCACTTATCACTAGTGCTTACTTATCACTACCACATAGTCACGTAATCACTATTATGCTGTACTGCCCCCTAGCTATTGTTTTTATCTGTGTACTACAAACCCTGAGCACAGGACCCAGCCTGAGTCAGCATTTAATAAATGTTTACTGAATGAATGGATAGTCATCACAGCAGCATTTCTAGTAAATTTCATTTCAGAAACAGATCAAATCCAGATGCAATTTACAGGCACAAAGATGACAAATGTATTTCATGTAGCAAGGAACAACAAACCCCACTAGAAGGGTTAAGCTTGACTCTACTTAACATGGAAGAAAAAGCAATTGGATAGAGGAAGTGGGCATAGCAGGCCACAAATTAACTGCTAAGTAGTGAAAAGGAAAAACTGTACTTAAGTACTTAAACATAAACTTTGTGTTTATGTGTGTATATGCATGTATATGCATGTGTATATGCATGTGCACGCATGTGCATGCATGGCATCTCTCTCTTGCTTTGAGAATCTTTGCAAAAACAAACAAAAAACATTCCAGGGCGCCTGGGTGGCTCAGTCGGTTAAGTGTCTACCTTCGGCTCAGGTCATGATCCCAGGGTCCTGGGATTGAGCCCCACACCGAATCAGGAGTCTGCTTCTCCCTCTCCCTCTGTGCATCCCCCTACACATTCATGCCCTCTCTCTTTCTCTCAAGTAAATAAAATCTTTAAAAAAAAAATTCCATATTCATTCTGTGCTGAATGGTGGGAATCAACCATAGATGGATGGATCATGAATTCAGATTAAATGAGATTAAAACAACTTCATGAGTCAGGAAGTAATCAAAATAACTGCCCAAAATGGAGATAAGAGGGGTGCCTGGCTGGCTCAGTTGGTAAGGCATCTGACTTTTGATCTCAGGGTCATGAGTTTGCGCCCCGTGCTGGGTATAGAGATTACTCACCAAAAAAAGTGGAGATGAGAACCTATAATGAAAGGTGAAAGATATAGGAATTGTAAATAAGTTTCCATTATACAGAAAAACTTTTCTCCATTTCCAGTAAAATGTCAGAATCTGAGAAAACACATTTAGACAATCAGTGTGGGTTATTAGCAAAAGGAAAGATTTCAAAGTCATAAGACTGAGGCTCAAGTTCTTACGTTGTCATCCACTAGCAATGTGACCTCAATTTTTTTGCCCGTGAACTGGGGACAATGATCTCCAAATTAGCGTCATTATAGTGATTTAGTAAGGCAAACTGTTACTTCCTTTTTCCACTCCACAGGGAGCCATTGTTCCCTCCTCTGAACTTCTATAGACATGAACATTTTGCCAATCTTATTTCATAGATCTCCCACACATTTTTTTCCTGGAGTATTTAAAAGCAAATCCCAGACATTATTTAAATATTTCAGTTGCAAGGATTTCTGTCATTTTTTTAACCAAAAAAACCTCAATGTAGTCTCCTGGTAAAAAAAAAAATTAATAGGGGCGCCTGGGTGTCTCAGTCGTTAGGCGTCTGCCTTTGACTCAGGTCATGATCCCAGGGTCCTGGGATCGAGCCCCGCATCGGGCTCCCTGCTCTGCGGGAAGCCTGCTTCTCCCTCTCCCACTCCCCCTGCTTGTATTCCCTCTCTCTCTGTGTCTCTCTCTGTCAGATAAATAAAATCTTTAAAAAAAAAATAATAAAGACTCTTGGGGCACCTGGGTGGCTCAGTGGGTTAAGTGTCCAATTCTGGATTTCAGCTCAGGTCATAATCACGGGGTTGTGAGATCAAGCCCCATGTGGGGCCTGCTTAGGATTCCCTCTCTCCCTCTCCCTCTGCCCCTCCCCCCTGCACTTTCTCTAAAAGAGAAAGGAGGGAAGGAAGGAAGGAAAGAAAGAAAAAGAAAGAAAGAAGGAAGGAATCTTTTTGTACATTATTCAATTTGGTTAATCTGCTAAGGTTAACCCAAATAGGTTCACTGGATAACTCTTCATTTCTCTGCTTTGCATTAGCCCTTTGAATATTCTAATTATGCCCAGACACTGTTATACTTCAGAATTAGATGTATATCATATTTGCAGTGTCTTAGCTTTTTAAGTGAATAGTAATAATAACAGATTGAATCTCTTCCTGGTTTTGAAGGACTGATCCATAGATTTGGGCAGTCCTAATTCATTTTCAGAACTTTCTTCAATGCTTGCTTCGAGGACGTTCCAAGGAAAGTTTTTCCAGTTACTGCTCTGTTCTCTTTGGAGATGCCTCAGGGCCCTGCCCCTTTGTTTGTCTGAGTTTGACCTTCACCTGCATATTCTCTTAGTCTGGTCCCATTAAAAAATTGATCCACAGTGCACTTCAAGCTAGATTTCTCATTGCCAAGCCCCCTGGGTTCTTCAAGGTTTTCTACTCTTTGTAATTTACTCAGGGAGGTTTGTGTGCCTTTACTGAATGCCTGTGATACTCCAGCCCCGCAGATGCTAATGCTCTAGACATTTTTTATTTCTGTGGCATTTCAAATAAATGGAATGCCTATAAATTGTAAGGTATTATATAAAAATTTGCTAATAATATTACCATAAATATGACACCTAAAGCACAAACAACAAATAAACCAGTGAGACTACATCAAACTAGAAGCTTCTGCACAGCAAAAGAAACCATCAACAAAGTGAAAAGAAAACCTCCAGAGTAGGAAAAAAAAATATGCAAACCATTTATCTGATAAGCAGATAATATCCAAAATATATAAACAACTCATACAAGTCAGTAGCAAAAAAACCACAACCCAATTAAAAAATGGGCAGAGGACCTGAGTAGCTGTTTCTCCAAAGAAGACATATGAAAGGCCAATAGGTAAATGAAAAGATGCTTAACATCACTAGTCATCTGGGAAATGCAAATTAGAACCACAATGACACATCTCTTCACACCGGTCAGAATGGCCATCATCAAAAAGGCAAGAGATAAATGCTGGCATGGATGTGGAGAAAAGGGAACCCTTGTGCACCGTTGGTAGGAATGTAAATTGGCACAGCCACTATAGAAAACAGTATGGAGGGGCGCCTGGGTGGCTCAGTTGGTTAAGCGACTGCCTTCGGCTCAGGTCATGATCCTGGAGTCCCGGGATCGAGTCCCGCATCGGGCTCCCTGCTCGGCAGGGAGTCTGCTTCTCCCTCTGACCCTCCCCCTTCTCATGCTCTCTCTCTCTCTCATTCTCTCTCTCAAATAAATAAATAAAATCTTTAAAAAAGAAAAAAAGAAAACAGTATGGAGAATCCTCAAAAAATTAAAAATAGAACTACCATATGATCCAGCAATTACACTTCTGGGAATATATCCAAAGAAAACAAAAACACGAATTCAAAAGATATCTGCAGCCCCATGTTCATAGCAGCATTATTTACACCAGCCAGGACATGGAAACAACCTACCTGTCCACTGATGGATGTAGGGATAGAGAAGTTGTGGGATAGGCGGCGCCCGGCTGGCTCAGTCGATAGAGCATGTGGCTCTTGATCTCAGGGTCAAGGATTCAAGCCCCACGTTAGGTGTAGAGCTTACTTAAGAAAAAAACAAAAAAGAAGCTGTGGTATATATACATACAATGGAATATTATTCAGGCATAAAAAAAAAAAAACAAGGAAATCTTACCTTTTGGGAAAACGTGGCTGGACCTTGAAGGCATTATGGTAAGTGAAATAAGTCAGATGGAGAAAGACAGATACTGTATGATCTCACTTACGTGTGGAATCTAAAAATGAAATAAAACTCATACAGAAAGATCAGACTTGTTGCTAACAGAGGCGGGGGGTGGCGGCGGAATTGGAGGAAGGTGGCCCAAAGGTACAAACTTTTAATTATAAGATAAATCATGTACAACATGACTACAATTAACACTGCCGTATGATATATAGGAAAGATGTTAAAAGAATAAATCCTGACAGTTCTCATCACAAGGAAATTTTTTTCCTTTTTTTCTTTTCTCTTTTTCCTTTATTATATCTGTATGAGAAGATGAATGTTAGCTGAACCTATTGTGGTAATAATTTCACAATATATGTAAATCAAACCATCATGCTATACACCTTAAACCTATACAGTGATGTATGTAAGTTATTTCTCAGTAAAACTGGAAAAAAAATATTACCGTAGCCTTCCCCTCCAAGATCCCTTAACCCAAGTGGGCAATACACAACATAGGAAGAGCCTTTGTGGAGAGTTAAGAAATATGAGTTATAATTCCAGATCATTCCACAGCATTAGTTAATCAAAATTTTATAAAAGTATATTGAGTGCTTGGAACACTACATCTAAAACTAATGATGTAATGTATGGGGATTAACATGACAATAAAAAAATTAAAAAAAAAAGTATATTGAGTGCTTTGTGGATGTCAGGCACCTACTAGGGTGCTAGGTTTAAAAATGAACGTGAGAATAGCCAAACTATGGAAAGAGCCCAAATGTCTGTCAACAGATGAATGGATAAAGAAGATGTGGTATATATACACAATGGAATACTACTCAGCCATCAAAAAAGAGTGAAAGCTTGCCATCTGCAACAACATGGATGGAACTAGAGGGCATTACGCTAAGTGAAATAAGCCAATCAGAGAAAGACAATTATCAGATGATCTCACTCATGTGGAATTTAAGAAACAAAACAGAGGATTATGGGGGAAGGGAAGAAAAATAAAACAAGAGGAAATCAGACAGGGAGACAAACCATAAGAGACTCTTAATCATAGGAAACAAACTGAGGGGTGCTGGAGGGGAGAAAGGTGGGGGGATGCTGTAACTGGGTGATGGACATTAAGCAGGACCCATGATGTAATGAGCACTGGGTATTATATAAGACTGATGAATCACTGAACTCTACCTCTGAAACTAGTAATACACTATATGTTAATTAATTGAATTTAAGTATAAAAATAAAATTGTTAAAAAAAAAATGAATGTGAGGATGGCCCTTGTCTCAAGTACAGAGACCATATCTTAATCTTTGTAACTTCCTCTGGGACATGACATAGTCTATGGAACCTATCTTATCCTTATAAAGTCTTATCTAAGCCCGTAGATCAAGACTGAGTTTCAAATCTTCTATTTTATGGGATACCTGGCTGGCTCAATCAGTGGAGCATACTACTCTTGATCTCGGGGTTGTGAGTTCAAGCCTCATGTTGGGTGCCGAGATTACCTAAAAAAATAAAAATCTTTTAACAAAATCTTCTATTTTAAAGATTTTATTTATTTATTTTAGAGAAGGGGGGGCAGAGGAAGAGAGGGGAGGGAGAGAGAACCTGAAGCAGACTCTGCCCTGAGCACAGAGCCCGATGTGGGGCTTGTTCACACCACTGCAAGATCATGACCTGAGCCGAAACCAAGAGTCAGACAGTTAGCTGACTGAGCCACCCAGGCACTCCGAAAATCTTCTATTTTAAACCCTTGTACTAGGGGAGGGGGGTGGGAGGATGGGTTAGCCTGGTGGTAGGTATTGAGGAGGGCACATTCTGCATGGAGCACTGGGTGTTATGCACAAACAATGAATCATGGAACACTTCATCTAAAACTAATGATGTAATGTATGGGGATTAACATAAGAATAAAAAAAATAACATAAACCCTTGTACCACATTATACCCAATCATTCCATTTCCTATCATTTATTTATTTATTTATTTATTTATTTATTTGACAGAGAGATGGAGAGAGAGCACAAGCAGGCAGAGCGGCAGGCAGAGGGAGAGGGAGAAGCAGACTCCACACTGAGCAGGGAGCCCGATGCGGGGCTCGATCCCAGGACCCTGGGATCATGACTGAGCCGAAGGTGGATGCTTAACCAAATGTGCCACCCAGGCGCCCCATTTCCTATATTTTCTCATCCTTCCCAAACAACCTTTTATACTTGGGGATGACACCAGAAATTTGGATCACCAAAGGGAAAAAATTCAGCAGGAGTCTGCATTAGTCAGGATAGGCTCTGTTACACTGTGGTAGTAACTCCCAAATTTCAATGACTCAATAAGCAAAAGTTGTTTTTCTCACTTACGCTTTGTGTCCTTCCCAGGTCAGCTGTAGCTTTGCTGCATGTTGTCTTCACTCTGGGATCAGGCAGCTCCATTAGCTTCTGTCTGGAATGCTGCTGGTCATCGCGGCAGCAGGAAAGGAAAACATAGTGAAGCACACTGACTCTTAAAGCTTCCATCTGAAAGTGGCTCCTTCAGCCACTCACACATTTCATTGGCTAATGCAAGTCACATAATCAAGCCTGCTGTCAAAGGAGTGAGGGAAGCACAATCCATCCCGGATTTACCCATGAAAGGCACAGTAAGGGTTTGGGAACAATAAAATGGTCCATAAATGGTCTCTTGATCTTTTTTTATTTTTTATTTTTTTTTGGTTGCAAAACAAACAGATTTTCAGCTACCTCCCCCCTCCTGCAGCAAAAACTATTTGGACTGTGTGTCCATAGAAAAAATGAAGAGAATTCTTTGGGACTTTGTGTGTAGGTCCCAACCCCAACTGTCTCTAACAAGGTTTTTAATTTTAAAGATTTTATTTATTTATTTGAGAGAGAGAGCATGTGCAGGGGGAGGTGGAGGGGCAGAGGGAGAAGCAGACTCCCCACTGAGCAGGGAGCCTGATGTGGTACTCAATCCCAGGACCCCGGGATCATGACCTGAGCTGAAGGCAGACACTTAACTGAGTGAGCCATGCAGGCGCCCCTCTAACAAGGTTTGAAAGCTTTCCTAAAGTAGTACTTGGATGTAAATACACTCTCTTGCAGTGGCTAGCACCCAGAAGTTTACAATTCTCGTATCTATGTGAACTGATGGTTTAGAGGGTCTTCGAAGATGAGCCTAGAGCCAGCCAGTTCTGGGTTCAAATCCTGACTACCACTGTCACTACTGAGCCTCTATTTCTTCTTCTTTAAAATGGGCATGACTGGGGTATCTGGCTGGCTCAGTAGGTAGAGCATGTGACGCTTGATCTTGGGGTTGTGAGTTTGAGCCCCATGTTGGTTGTAGGGATTACTTAAAAGAATAAAATCTTTAGAAAAACAAATAAATAAAATGGGGATGACTACCTCATAGTTTTACTCTAAGGATTAAATTAAAAAGTATGAAAGGGGCTATCATGTTCCCAATCACACAAGGAACACTCAATAATTATTAGCCACTCTCTCACCATGCTAGGGTTTCTTGATTGTTCTTATTCAGCTCATTAGGCATGAACTAGGTCAATACTTCACAACTTGAAATCAAACAATTATTTTTTAACTACCATGTTTGTACCCAGAGTTTCAGGCTCCTATGAGCTGCAAACCTTGGCTTTCTTTTCCTGCTAACCAGGTTTCTCATTCAGTCATTCCAAAAGATACAACTTGCTAACTGGAAGAGAGATTTCCTCTAAACCTACTTTATTTGAATATCTCCTGACTCACTCTTCCTAGTGCCATCCAAATTTCTTCTACACCATTGCTTACACGTAATGTAAATACTTTATTTAATCTATGTATTTGTTAATATTTGTTCAGCTGTCCTGATGCCCTTGTGTCTTTCTTTATGCTTTTAATTAGCTTGGCTGATTCTGAGTGGAGGCAAGCCAAGGTTTGAGCCAGGTGGTTACCAGGAAGATGGATGGGGGGGGGGAGGTAGTGGGGAAGGTAGATGGTATGAGTGCACTTGAGCAAATGCATGGCTAGAACTTGGAAAAAGTTTAGGCTACTACCTTCTGCTGGGGAGAAAGATTCTTAACTACTCCTTTCTTCTGCCGTACTGATATAATAATCTGAAGTTAATACCAAGTTCTTAGAGGGCAGGAACTCACTTTATGGATGGTTTATATAGAGTGATATGGTCTCGTTTTATGAGTTAGTTATTTCCATCAGTTACTTGTGTTTAATGACCACCTACACGACTGTAATTTCCATGGTTTCTATTTTTCTCATATTCATCCAACCTCTGACTTTATATAAGCTATCCTCTGCTACCCCAGATTTTCTTCCTCTACTCCAGCCTTGCTTCTGTCTCTACACGGCAAATGCCTACTCATTTATTCAGACTTAGTCTTAACCTTACCATTAAAGGTCCAGTTTTTTTTGGTGCCCCCATCCCCATCTAATCCGAGTTAAGCCTTGTTTTTTCTGTTTCCATGGCACAAGTACAAATCTCTACCAAATTGCACTGGGATTGTTTACATGTCTGCTTCTCCAGAAGCCTAGGAGCACATTGAAAATAGAGAATTTATTTATTCCCTTTTGACTCCCTAGTATTCAGCCCAATGCATGGTACAGAGTAGGGTCTCAATAAATGATTAGTGAAGGCTAGTTAAGGATGCACAGTGACCAACACCCAACTCCCAAGTGTTGTCTTTAAATAGCATTTGTGGTGCTGAGAGCTTCCCAGTGGCCTTTGTATATAGGCTTTGTTGTTGTTGTTCATCCAATACACAAAATATAAAGTATTATTTAAAGATATCCAGGGAATCGGGAAGGATCCTCTAGGGCTGGGAATAATAGGAGGGACTCGCTCATGTTTTTCTCTCTTCCTCTTGTAGGTCTTGGCTCATTTTAAATTCATTTCTTATTTTCTGCTTTCCTCTTACAATACACGAAGAGAGAGAAAAGGATCAGGTAAAGCCTCATTTGTGTAAGTGGCTGGGGGTCATGCGAAGTGTTGAACATCCCGCTGTTGATGAACCGCCCATGCAGCTGAATCGAGGTTTTTGTAGGGCAATTGCAGCCCAGCTCAGGGCTGTGTTTCTTTCGGGGAATTTATAATCCACATGAGGCTGGGAAAAGATTACAAACAACACAAAACAATAAAACCTCTATCTCATTGCTGTGAGCAATCTATTTCTCTTAAGGCTCTGTCCCTTGAGTTGATCTCCTCTTTGAGGACCCTCCTGCTCCCCCACCCTGCCGGCCAGCCCACCCCTCCCAGGACTGTGTGAACTACTTTCTTCTGTGCCAACACTCAACCTCGTACATAATAATGCATTTTGGGGCTTTTATTTCTATTTATTTTTTAATCATTATTTTTAAAATATATTTTTAAAGATTTATTTATTAATTTGAGAGGGTGGGGGGAAGGGGCAGAGGGAGAGGGAGAAAGAGAAACCCAAGCAGACTCTGCACTCAGCACACAGCTGGGCGCTGGGCTTGATCTCATGGCCTTAGCTAAGATCACAACCTGAGCCGAAATCAAGTCAGACGCTCAACCGACTGTGCCACCCAGGCGCCCCGGCGGGGGGTGGGGTGGGGGTGTCTTTATTTTATGGCAGCATATGCATGGTATGGTCTCTTTTGCTAGGTAGTTATGATTCTTGTTTCCATTTAATAGGCAAGAAAACAGAGACTAAGTGAAAGTTAATCGCTTGACATAGACACACAGAAAGCTATGGAACACGAGATTGAACCCAGGTCTGCCTTCCCAGTCTGAGTTTTAAGCTTTTCCTCCCTGGTCCTACCAGGTCCCAGAATCCCCCCATAGCACCCTGCTGGCTATGGCCATTAAAATTTTTTGGGGGGGCGCCTGGGTGGCTCAATTGGTTAAGCGACTGCCTTCGGCTCAGGTCATGATCTTGGAGTCCCTGGATCGAGTCCCGCATCAGGCTCCCTGCTTGTCAGGGAGTCTGCTTCTCCCTCTGACCCTCCCCCCTCTCATGTGCTTTCTCTCTCTCATTCTCTCTCTCAAATAAATAAATAAAATCTTTAAAAAAAAAAAATTGGGGGGGGAGGGTGGGGAGGGGTGCGGAGGGGTGCTCCTCCATCTTTGACATTCTGGGACTTGTGTTTCTTTCCTTCTCAAAGACTGCTGATCCGCAAGCCCCCAACCCCATTCTGGCAGCTGTCCAGATACAAGTCTTTCTATTCCTTTACCCCATTATCTGGCTGACCCTGCTCAAGCGGCTCAGAGAGACTTCTGGTTTGGGACTCTGATGACCTCGATCCTAGTCTCAGGTTAAAACCTGGTGACTATGGGCCACAGTTTCTTCCTCTGACAAATAGGGATAATCTCAGCTTTCCCCATATTCTTAATTGCATGACCCAGACTGTTCTTTAGAACCTTTCTGCCTATGGCCCCCAGATGATGGTGGGTTTTGGGACCTGAAGGGCTGGGAAGAAGACAAATTTTAGCCATGTTATCAAGGATTCACCCAACGGCCCAAAAAAGAACTAGAGACATCCAATTCCCTTGGCAACTTGGTAGAAGATGGGTCTTCTACCCTCTCTCAGGGAAGCTGGCAATGGTAGCCCCTTCTTCAGGATTCTCTTTCCCTTATCACAGTGTATTGTGATTGTCTAATCTGTGTGCTTCCCACTATACTGTGAGTTCTTAAAGTATAGAGACTGTTTCCTATTTTTCCTACTCATTCTATTGGTCTGGTCCAAGTCCTCATCTTGAACCAGGATAGTGGAGCCTCTGACTTCCAATGTTGTCGGCTCACTGCTCACTCTACTCCTAGCACGGCAGCTAGAGTGATCGTTTGAAAGCATGAACTGCCCTATTGCTTCTCTGTTCAGAGCCCTGCGGTGGTTTTATTTTAGTCAAGATCCTTACAATGGCCCACAAGACCCCACTGACCTTATCAGCCCATTCCTGTCTCAGTTGCTCACCCTGCTCTGCTGTCCTGGATTCCTCACTGTTTCTAACACTTCCAGGAATGCTTTCGCCTCCAGGCCTTTCTACTAGCTATTCCTTCTGCCTGGGACACTCCCAGACAATGGCATGGCTCATTCCCTCACCTCTTTCAAGTTTCTCATTAAAGTCATCTTGAATTGGGCTCTCCCTCATGGCTGTTTAAAAGCCCATCCTGTAAAACCAGAACTGGAATATTATGAATCTATCTTCATTTCTCTTCCGCTAAATCCTCTTTGCTACCCCTATTACTTTGCTTTACAGGTCTAGATGTTTTGATAAGTCCTCCCTCTCCTCTAAATATTTTCCTTTTCTCCCTCCCTTTTGCCCCAATACCGGCCTAAGGCCATTCGCCTAGATTAATGCATGAGTTTCCATGATGAAAGAGGTGAGGTATAATGAAACAGAAAAATATGAGATCTCAGCTGAGGTGAAGCTAGAAAGGGAGTTGGACTCTGAAGACCTCAGGTTTGAATCCTGGCTGGTTTTTCTCTCCTGAGCCTTAATTTCATTAGCTGCAAACATGAACAGAGGAGTCCTTTCTCACAGACTTGCGAAAAGCATTGCATGAGAGGACACGGGAAAGCACTTGGCATGTGGTCTCCACTATAGCTGGGGAGTCCACCAGGTCAGAGCTTTGGCTTATTCTCCACGGAAGCCCCAGCACCTAACACATGGTTTGGCTGAAGTATTTGTTGAACAAATAAACCCATTATTGATAAATAAACCGCTGTTGTTTAAAAAAAAAATCCCAAGCCCCACCCTCCTCCAGTTTTCTTCTTACCTCTTAACCGTCTATTTTCCCCCATAATGCTAAATACCTTTTAACACACCAAATAATTTTCTTGTTATGTTAATCGCCTTTCTCCCCATAATAGATGAAAGCTCCAAAAGGGAAGGATATGTTTTCTCCTCTACCATTTGCTGATACATCCTAAGCACTAAAATAGTGTGTGACAAACTTAGTAGTAATTGGAAAATATTTGTTGGACAAATGCGTGAATGAATATTTTTATTTTCAGAATCTTGCTACAGTCTTTTTCTTTTTTTAAGATTTTATTTATTCATTTAAGAGAAAGAGAGAGAGCATGCGCCTGCGCAAGAGTGGGGGGAGAGGCAGAGGGAAAAGGAGAAGCAGCCTCTTTGCTGAGCAGGGAGCCAGATGTGGGTGGGGCTTGATCCCAGGACCCAAGGTCACATGACTTGAGGCCAAGGCAGAGGCTTAGCCGACTGAACGACCCAGGGGCCCCTAGAATCTTGCTAGAGTCTTAAATAGAGAAGGAATAAATGCTTGGCAAATGGCAGGTGTTCAATGTTTGCTGAAGGAACTGGGTACTCAGCTCTTTAACTACCTGAGGTCTTTATCTGATCCCTACAAGACCATGTCAAAAACGGTTCCCAAGGCCAATTCACTCAGGCCTCTCCTTTTTCTTTCATCCAATCAACCTAGTATTCACCCAACAGATATCTGAGTATCCAAATACTGAACACCTACTATGAGTTCAAAAGCATCCTTGGTGCTTGCTTATATATATGTGACTAACCCAATGAAGCAATAGCAAATTAGAGGTCTGAATGTAATTAAGTATGAAATTACAGGTCAGATTAGCAGTGCTAGTAGTTTAGAGAATCAGTGAAGATTGACGTAGAAGGAAATTCCAAAGTTCACAAGTATTCCGAACTACCCTTCTAAAGGTTCCACCTGTTGATAGCAAGGACCATAACCTGAACAAGTCTTTTAGAATCAGAAGGGCCTTTAGAGTGCCAGCTGCTCTGTTTTAAGAAGGAAACTAAGGCTAGGACGGAAACGGCCTCGGCAGATGGGTCTAGAACCTGGGACTTGTAAAGTTCTAAAAGGGTGTCCTGAAGGTCTAAGGTGCTCTTATTTGGGGCCTGTAGAACCCGCGCTGTGCAAAGTTGGAAAAGGGGTCTGGTTTCCCCGGAGAGGCTGGGGTGCCTGTCGCTACCACGAGGTGGCGGGGTCCAGGTGGGGGGCAAGGTCACGAAGCGCCATCCCTCCCGGGCATGGGGCCTGAGGAATTCGTGAGCAGGGTCCAAGGCCGAGGGTCCCTGCTGTCCTCAACTACGGGACCGTCCTCGCCGCCCCACTTCCTAGCCGCCACTCTGAAGCGCAGGGACCCCAAATCGTTCGGAACTCCAAAATACTGGCTGCGTTAAGGTAGATATCCCGGCGTCCCAGGGCACTACTTGTCCCAGCGGAGGGATCCCGCGCGCGTCGCCACGGCCGTGCCCGCGGCAGGGAGGGGACGCCGCCGACGCCGTGCCGGTGGCGCAGCGACGTCGCGGGAGGCGGGGGCGACGGCGGGGGCGGGAGAGGAGCGGGTCGGGAAGTAGTTCCGGGTGCGCGGCCCCGGATGTTGGCTGCTCCCGCTGCCGCCGCCGCTCTCGGCGCTGCTCGGGGCCTCGGCCGCTCGCACCAGGCGCCGTTGGGACCTTTCCCGGGAGGCGGAGACGCACGCAGCGGCCGGGGGCTCGGCCGAGCCGTCCCGGCCTGCGCAGCCTGAGGTGAGTGCCCGCCGCCGGGGTGGCGGGGCCGAGGCGGCGGGCGAGGAGGCGGGGCTGGGGCATCTCCCGGGACGGAGGCAGGGGCTGCCCTCCGCGAGACGTCCTCTCCCTTCTCGGCCGCGCCGCGCTGCGGGCGGGCGGCGGGCGGGGCAGGGGGCCCGGGTCCGGGCTGGGGCCTGGCGGGCGGCGAGGGCTGGGTACCTCCCTCCCCCGCGGCGCTTCTCCTCAGCTGCTGCTGCCCCTCAGCCGGGAAGCGGCGACTCCGCGCCTCCCGCCTCTCCGCGCCTCCCGCCCCTCCCCCAGGCGGGGCTCGGGGAGCCAGACGGGGTTCCCAGGGGCGCCAAGTCCGAGGACAGCGGCCGTCTTCTCCTCTCAATGACCTGCCCCTTGGCTTGGGCTGGCCCCCTACCTCAGCACGATGCAGCTTCTTCCCCTCAAGCTTGGGGGGTGTTTTTCGGCCGGCGAGGCGGGCAGTACCTCGAGCCTCGGGGGTGCCCTTCGGGGTGAGGCCCGTGAGAGGGGCCTCCGTTCCCACCCATCCTGACGCCGTGTCCTCTGCCGGCATTGGGGCAGAGGCAGCCGTTCCATGCGGACGTGTTGCTGTCCTGTGTGTGTTGCATCCTGCCCACGTGGTAGGGTGTCTCCCCCCTCCCCCCTCCATTTTTTGCAGCTGGTGAAGAGGGAGGTTTACGCGGTGGTTTTTCCTCTCTGATTTCCGCCCGTGGCGTGGAAGGTGTTAGGGTCAGTTTGCTTTGCTGAGGCCGACTGTTGGTTAGCTGGAGAAGCAAGAGTTGTACTCCCTGAAAATGAGACCAGCAGGGGACATGGCAGGGCTTAGTTTCATAGACCTCTTTCCTCCTCTGCTTTTAGCTGTTATCGTTCTTTTCTCTATTGCTTAATCCAAAAGAGTGTGCTCTTGCTGCTGATGCACTGAGGTGTGTAGTTTTCACTTCTCCGTTCTACTTTTTGCGTGTTTGGTTGGCAAAGGTTCTTTTCTGTATTGTGTGGTTCACGTCTCTGTTGCTTCTAGTTGGATTCCTGAATGAGCTGAGTTGGGCTGGCCCGGCAGTTGGCGTTTGGTGGGCATCTTTTTTGTCTTTTCCTGACGTTTATTTTTTTCGTCTATTTTGCTTCCCAGTGAAACGAGTGCATGTTATGAAAGTATTACATGCATGGCTCTTTACTTGGAACGCGGTACTAGATAGTTTCACTGAGACACATATTTCGTGGGAGCTCTTTTATTTCACTTTTGCTCTTTTTCTGTTGAGTATCTTTACGCTACTCTGTTTTTTGAAACTGGTTTTGAAACGGGTTTTGGGTAGTTTCTTTCCTTAATGTCCGTTCCAGTTTAAGGTTTCCAGTTTCCTGTGTTTCCCTCTTGTGTGACCACAGATTGCTCCCTTAACAGGGAGCAGGCTACAGTAGCAGTGAGAGAAGCCTTATTCCTCCTAGACCATAGCAAATATTTATTATAAAGCAGTAACTCCCTTCATTTTTCTGTTTGGGTGGCATATATGGATGTGGTTGAAGTTTTTAAGTTTTTTGTTTGTTTTTATTATAAACCTGAGGATTTTTGTTTTCTTTTTGTGTCTTTTGGAGGTGAGGTGAATCTTGGTATTGGTTTTTGTTATACTGGGGACTTTTCATGCTTTTATGAGGTATTTGTTGGATGGGTTCAGGACATGTTTGTTTTGGCTCTTTTTGGTTCATTAGTTTGGGTGAAATAAAAAAATCTTAATATTTTGAAGTCACTTTTTAGATTCCAAGTTGGCTAGCATGCTCACATTTTCTTGATTTGTTTTTTGCATTGTGTGTTCTCTTTGTGCGTGTGTGTGTATTCCTTTTTTGTGGTACAATTGTTAGTATATTTTTCTATGCAAAATAAAGATATTTAAATACAGATTCTGTCTGCTTTTATCATGCTAAGTATGGGTGGGGCAGTAGAAAATAGAGACTTTTTCTTATTCTGATTCTGATTATTATTTAGTAAGTCAGCATTTGTATACTTCTGCAAAATACTGTGCTGTGTGTGAAGTAGTCTGTATGAAGAGATAAGGAATAAAATATGTGGTCTCTATAAATGTTTCAACTTTGGGGAAACAACATGTAACATACATATTCATAAATTACCAAGTAACATCAGACTCCTGGTTGGGATAACAATGCAGCCAACTTCAAAGGTATAAGTGAGATTTGCAAAAGACAGGAATTTTCAAAAGGGAGGAGCTGTATTCCAGGAGAGTGAAGGAGTATTTACAGAGGTAAAGAAGTGACAGTGTATAGGGCGCCTGGGTGGCTCAGATGGTTAGGCGTCTGCCTTCGGCTCAGGTCATGATCCCAGGGTCCTGGGATCGAGTCCCACGTCGGGCTCCCGGCTCAGCGGGGAGCCTGCTTCTCCCTCTGACCCTTGCCCCTCTCATGCTTTTTCTCTCTCGCTCGCTCTCTAAAAAATAAAATCTTAAAAAAAAAAAAAAAGTGACAGTGTATAAAAAGATATAGCAAGGGATGCCTGGGTGGCTCAGTCAGTTAAGTGTCTGCCTTCTGCTCAGGTCATGATCCCAGAGTCCTGGGATCGAGTCCTGCATCATCGGGCTCCTTGCTCAGCAGGGAGCCTGCTTTTCCCTCTGCCTTCTGTTCCCCCTGCTTGTACTCTCGAGCTCGCTCTCTCTGACAAAAATCTTAAAAAAAAAAAAAAAAAGATAGCAAGTAGGTTGACCTGTATAGAGAATCTGTATTGGTAATGGTAATATATGAGTTCAGGATTGGTGAGTAGGTGTTGGAGGACCTGTCAAGGATGTAAGGTTTAGTTTGATGGGGTACCATACTGGGTTCTAAAGACTGGGAATAAGATAATGCCTATTGTCCCTGAGGAAGGTTCTGTATTAACTGAGTGTTCTGGAGTGAGGAGACTGACTAGGATGGTCTTGGAGAATTTTAGGAATAAGGTGAGAGTCTGATATAAGGTAATGATTATGGGAATAAAATAATAACTACATTTATTGAGTGTTTCCTGTATGCCATTGTTCTAAACTCTTTACATGTATTTATCTCAAAATCTTCTCAAAGGTCTTAACTATTCCTATGAAAAAACTGAGTTACAGAGAGGTTAGATAGCTTGCCCCAAATCCCGTAGAGAGTAAGCTGCAGAGCCAGGATTTGAAGCCAGGCAGTCTCATCTTTGAGCTTTTGCATTTAATCATTAAGTTACACTGTCCTAAGGAAGAAGCATAGGATATATAATAAGATGAATGTGTGAGTAAAAATTAATTTGAACTTAGTGATGATTGTGGACAAAGGCAAGAAACAAAAAAAGCATTAAAAGATAAAAGCCTGGAGTCCTGGGAGGATGACTGATAATAGGAAATTAGGAAAGTATCACTGTGAAGGAAAATGAGCTAAGATTGGTTATGGGCAACATTAGATGGGGTACAGTCAGTTTTTCAGTAGCAGACTAGTTTCCTGCCAGTCCTGACGGCCTTTTCTCCTTGCTGGTTTGACTCTGGAAATGAAGACTAGTTTAAGCCAAACAATTAGAAAAACAGATCTATTCAGAAGAAAAAAATGTACCCCACATTGCAAAGCCACATAGAAATAGCATAGGAATTATTTTGGTTGAGCCACTGCTGCTTCCCAGCCTTAGTGAAGACAATGAAGTATTGACTAGAGTAAGATTTGAAGTATCTGAAGTATCTGTAGTACATTGTTATAGGATTAATAGAGATGAAAATGTAGATTGTTCACTGACCAGAGGGCTGTGTAGATGGTAGTAAAAAACAGGTGAGTAGATGAGTGATGGGAAGTTAGTAGTATGATGGTGAAAGAGCTTCAAGGTTTGGAATTTTGGGTGACCTTATAGATTAACAGGTAAACATTCTGAGAAGAACCAGGAAGTACATCATTGCTATAGAAGCCAAAGATAGGAGAGGTACTGTGGCTGATAGTATCAGAGGTAGTCTGGGAGTTCAGAAACAATCATCATGATGAAAAGACTATTGAACTAGGATGGGAAGTAATTTTTAACCTTAGAATTTTGAAAGGAAGGATAAGAATATATGTCAGATTTGTTTTCCACAGAAGGATTTGTAGAGACATTATGGTCTGGTTTGGTAATTTTTTTTAAAAAGATTTATTTATTTATTTTAGGGGGTAGGGAGAGGGAGAGAGAGTCTCAAGCAGACTCTGCGCTCAGCGGGGAGACTGATGCAGGGCTCCATCTCCCAACCTGAGATCACGACCTGAGCCGAAACCAAGAGTCGGACTCTTAACGCAGATGCACCACCCAGGCACCCCTGTTGTGGTAATTTTAAGTATTTTCTCCTAATTCTTCCACCAATCTCATTCTTTCTTGTCTACATGTCAGAGATACTCAAATATCAGGAAACTCTCTTTCTTTCTTTAAGAAAGAAACAAATGTATTCTAAAGCTAGTGATTTTATACTTTAACTGTTCTCACAAACTTTTTTCTTACTCTTTTTTTAAAGTTTTTTTGAGGTATAATTCACATACTATATAGTTCACTTATTTAAAGTATATAGTTCAGCAGTTTTTAGTATATTAAGTCGTGCACCCATTACCACAATCATCTTCAGTCATTTCATCATCCCCAGAAAGAGAGTCTGTACCCTGTTCTGTACATTTCATGTAGGTGGAATCATGCAACATATAGTCTTTAGTGTCTGGGTTCTTTCACTTAGCATACTATTTCGAATGGGTTATCCATCTTGATGTTTGTTATCAGTATCTCATTCCTTTTTATTGCTGACGAATGTTCCATTCTATGGCTATACTACCTTTTGTTTATCCATTCATGAGTTGGACATTTGGGTTTCTTATTCTTGTAAAAACCTTTCCCTTTCTTCATCTTAATCCTCACCCTGCCAATTTCACTCTTCCTATGGCTTTTCTTTTAGAGTGTAACCTCTGCTGTGCATTCCTCTAGGCATTGGGGATATAAAAATGAGTAAGACATGGCCCCTGATCACTCATGTAGTGTTTATGGTTTACATAAATTTTCTCATACATCATTTCATTTCACAACAGCCCTGTGATGTGGGCAAAGTATTTTTTAAGATGAGCAATTTGAAGTTTAGATTAAGTGACTTGCCCAAGATTGTGTATCTAAATCAGTAATGGAGCTTTGGATCTTCTTGGTCCATGTTCATTGCTATTTCTACTACTCTGTGCTGCTGTTCTAAGTTAAAGGATTCCTATGTGAAGGAGGGGCTGGGAAATTTCCTTAGTGAATCAGTAATTTTTAATGTTTAATCTTCAGGACTTAAAATGAAGTGTGTGTGTGTGTGTTTTAAACGGATTCTGTCACTTGTTTGCTGTGTGATTTAGGTAAGTCATTTCATATTCCTGCCTTTTCTTCAGAACATCAGTGGGTATTTATGTGGTGATGATAGTGGCATTTTCTGAAGCCTTACTATGGGTCCAAAAGTATTCTGAGTACTTTACATTTTTTATTCATATAATTCTCATAACAACTCTAAAAGGTAGATTTTATTTTTATCAATTTTACAGGCACAGAGAGATTAAGTAGCTTGCCTGAGGTTGTATGGCTAAGGATGGAAAGAGGCAGGATTTGAACGCCTGCAGTCTATTTTCAGAACTCAGTGGCTGTTAATCACTACATTGTACTGCTTACTGTGTTATG